GTTGATAGCAGAGGAGCGGATCCAGCGAGAGCTTGATAGGGCGACGCGGAATGAAAAAGTTTTTCAGGAGTCGCGGCAATAGAGGCAGCGCAACTATAACAACATGTGAATAATCCGCCCACTCTAAAGAGGTACTAAACTGCAGTGGAAACGCAAACTGAGCCGAGCCGAGTCGTACCACGCAGTGGAAAAACGCCATTATTTTACCAAAATTTATTTTCTAGATAATCAGTCCTTTCGCGCAGCAATTTGTTTTGTTGTATAAGAAAGCTTAAAGGGGTCATATGATTCTGCTAAAAAGAACATTATTTTGTGTATTTGGTGTAATGCAATGTGTTTATGCGGTTTAAGGTTAAAAAAACACATTATTTTCCACATACTGTACATTATTGTTTCTCCTCTATGCCCCGCCTTTCTGAAACGCGTCGATTTTTACAAAGCTCATCGGTCTGAAAAAGCGAGGTGTGCTCTGATTGGCCAGCTATCCAATGCGTTATGATTGGCCGAATACCTCAAGCATGAGACGGAAATGATACGCCCCTCACCATATTGTGATGATGCCCCGTCAGGCCGGTGCGATGATTCAAAAACATGAAAACCCATTATAAACGAGGCATTCGTTGCATCAGTGGGGACATAATTATGGATTATAATGACTTATACTCTCTTTTTATGCGTTGTGTTGCATCGCGCCACGTAAACATAAAACCATGTCTGCATTTGTGATAGGAGAAATGACAAACAACAAGCCCTACTCTACACTGCCCAAAAAACTCGCTTTAAATATAAAAAATATAAAATATAAAAACTCTTTAAATATAAAAGACGTACTTACAGTCTTTGAGTCAGAACAGCCAGCATTGTAGTCTACTCTACCAGGATCAGGAAACAGTCCTCCATAAAATGCGCTGCACACATCTGAATATTTGGGTTGAACTGTTCTGGAACAGTGTTGTAAATACAACTTAACCACTGATTTCTAGTCGTGTCCATTTTTGGAAGGCCAAACAAAGTAGTTTCGCTTTCACAACGAAACACACAGCGCCTTCACGACATGGCGGCGTCAACAACAATACTACAGCCAGAATAAAAGTTACGCCTTCTTTCTTTGCGTGAACATTTGGGCGGCATTATGCAAATCTTCCCACACAGTGACGCAGACGTGGGGGCGAGTTTAAACGAGGCGTTTTAGGAGGGCGTTGACCAGTCTTTATAAAGAATATCTCTGGGTTTGAGAATTGAGACTTTAGTCTTTGCAACTTTACAGATCTTCTTTATGCACCAAGAGCTTGTAACACTCCAAAGAGAAAGGAAAAATTGAAATCGCATCATATGACCCCTTTAAAAAGAAACCTGAATGCATTAACACTAACTATATGGAACAGTATTATTTTATTATTATTTATATACTTTTATAGTATTTATTAATATTTTGAATTAGCTTTTATTTTTATA